CTTATATTTTTTTTAAGGTTGATAGTTTTTTTTTCAACATTTTAAACGTTAAACTATAATTATATCAATTCCCTCCTTTGTTTCTTGTCTCTCTCCAACTCCTCCTACATGCTCCCTCCCTTATTCTGCCTCAAATTCATGGCCTCCTTTTCTTTAGTTGTTACTGTTGCATGTGTGTATGTGTGTGTGTGTGTGTGTGTGTGTGTGTGTGTGTGTGCACACACCTAAATATGTAAATATAACCTGCTCAGTCCTTCTAGTATTATCTATACATACATATGAACTAATGATTTTACAGCAATTGAACAAAATTTCCAAAATCCAAAATTTGTATTTGTTGTACCAGCCTCTTTATGGCCTGTTTAACTTCACAAAGCTTTTAGCAAGAAATGTAAATCTTGTGCCCTGGCAGAAAGACCTATCAGGATTAAGCTCCTCCATGTCTTAATCCTCAGCCCCTTACTGATGGGTACCTTCTTAGTCTCATTCACATCCCAGATGCTGACTTTGGTGTACCTGTTAATACAGCTGCAAGGACATGCGGCCTGAGTCCACTAATGCAATCATAGCCTACTGTTTTACAGATTCTTGGTATTTTCAGAGCATTTGTTGCTTAAGGACCATTCACCTGTGTCTTATTCCTATGCTATACAGTTAGGCCTGTGATGGTTGCTTTATCCTGAAGATGTATAACTTTCTTCTCAGCGTTGATTGTAAACATCTCCATTTCTGTATGGTTGAATTGTGATGGACTGTGGCCATTTGTTGGTCCAGTATCACAGGATGTGTAACTCGGTCAAAAAAGCCATGTTCTGCAGGTGGCCTTTAGTATTTGTTGTCACATCCCAATAAAGATGGGAGACCCTGAGGGATGGGAGATGGAGATGGAAAGGCTCCAGGCAGCCAAAAGCTGCCAGGGAACCTCACCTTGGTCCATCTCTGAGGTGAACATGCACCATTATATTATTTTACAACAGGAATGCTATGGTACCCTATAGTCAAAAGTTTTCTCCAGTCCCACCCGGCCCTGTGGCCCCACAGCCACTTATAAAATAATCACTCAGAGGCTTATGTTAATTACAAACTGTATGACCAATGGCTTAAGTTTCTTGCTAGCTAGCTCTATCATCTTAAATTAACCCATTTGTATTAATGTATGTTTTGCCATGTGTTCCGTGGCATTACCAATCTGCTGGCATGTTAATCCCTTGGCGGTGGGCTGCTGTCTCTCCCGCCTCTGCCTTTCTTCTTCCTGTCTCTCTCTTGGATTTCCTGCCTAGCTATAACCTGACTTGCCATAGGCCAGAGTAGCTTCTTTATTAACCAGTTGTAGCAACACATATTCACAGCATACAGAAAGACTATCCCCACAGCAAGTACCTGTTCTCTGCTTCATAAAAATAGGGACCTTGAGAGGCTGACCCTGAGGAGGCAGGGGACAGGAGGACTGTATGGCTACACTATCTATGTATGTGCAGAACCAACAAGCCAAGAGCAACTGGAAATAGGCAGGGAGGTCACTGGACATAATTTTATTTTCCAGAGCATTTTTGTAATGGATTTCACTGTCTTTGCAAAAGACTGAGAAGGATGTGCTTGGTACTTTGAAAATCATCAGGTGTTTGTGAAAAAGACCGTCTCCATATAGCATCTTACCCCTTTGAAGTCTTTCATGGGTGCATGGGGAATTTTCTAGTCCAGCAGAGAGTCAGGGCTGCCATAGCATCACTGAATAGGGTCACAGAACACTGTGGTGCTTAGTGGCACTTGGCAGTGGACACTGTGTACAAAGATCTTGGCATTGAGGGTGTGTTTGCCAAGGCAGTGAGGGAAGTGTAGTGAGGAGAAGGGTGATGTTCTCTCTGAATGCCCAGAGCACCATGCCATCCTGGCCCTAAGCTCAGGGAGCTGAAGGGAGTTGAAAGGTTACAGTCTAACCCTTTGAGTAAATTTCCTCAGTAGCTGTGCTCAGGGAAGTGCTGGGAATTGGGTATGGTAGGTGAGGGGCCCTGGGCCTGGCTGGGAAACCCGTGAGAGCCTCACCTGTTTAGGCAGCACCACTGTCTACTGGCATCCCGTGACAGTCATGCTTGTGTCTCTCTTCCAGATCCTGCCTGGCCTGTACATTGGCAACTTCAAAGGTGAGTGATAGCTCTGGTTTTTGTGTGTTTGTTTGTTTGGTTTTTTTTATGGTGGTAAATACATATCTATCACAAAATGTACCATTGTGACCATCTCCATATACAGGTCAAAAGCTCTTAAGATTTTTTTCACATGGTTGTATAACTATCATCCACCATCCATTTCCAGAACTTTCTTCTCCTCCCAGATTGAAAATCTGAGCCCCTGGCCCTCCAGAGTTCAGTGGGTTGAGAATATCAGACTGGTTTGTGACATGTCTGACACTACCCAGGTGATACCTTTTGGAAGGAGCCCAGGAAGATCTGGTTTCAAACTTACAGGCTTTTATGGCTAGTGAGCTACTTGCACACATGCACAGCTCACTGCCACAGTGACTATGGTTGTGAGGTTCCATTTACAAATTTACCCAGTGATTTGAGGTCAGTAAGTACCAAAGGTCCACTGTTGTCATCCAACAAAACTGATGAAGGATGTTGGGCATGCTCGCGTCCATGGCTGAGCTTCATGGGAGAGAGTAATCCCAGAGTAGTGCAGCCATGCTGACACTCTGATGCAGCAGACAGAAGGCAGCAGCACTGGCCCAGCCTGGCTTCCCTGCCTCCAGGGACCCAGCAGCCCATTGGGTCATGTGTGGTAGAGTGGGCCTCTTAATGCACAGATTTACAGTTTTATCACCAAACCACAATTTAAAATGGCAAGCTGTTAATAAAATGTATGTCATGGGTAATAAAAAATAAATTATGGTCATAGTTGCACAACTCTAAATGTACCACTGACGTACATGTATCCTCTTGAAAGGGTGAGTCTTATAGTGTGTGAGTCATACTTTTACTTGACCATAGCCACAAGGCTGAGACACCATTGTGTATTACAACACAATAAAGCTAAACAACAGTTTAAAATAGACCATTAAGTAAATTGTCCTTCAGTATCTTCCCGGGGCTGGCTCCAGGACCCCTCACAGAAACCAAAAACCAAAATCAAGTCCTCTATTTCAAGTGATGCAGGACCCTCATAGAACCCCAGTTGTCAAGATGGGGCATGGCCAGCCACAGGCCAGCCAGGGGCTTCAAGGTCAAATCTACGCCCCACCCGATACAGTTCTGCTAAAATGGAATCTAGCCAGCAGGGGCCCTCAAGGCCCTGCCTGGCGGGAAGACATCCATGGCCCTGCCTGTGCCTTGTGGCACCGGGCAAGTGGGCCGCATTATGATGAGCAAATATGTGGTGGAGAAATGGGAGAGAAAGAGAAGTGGAATGGTCATGTGCTGTGGGGACAGACAGAAAGGAAGAAATAAAGATGATGAGGGGCAGGCTGATGTTAGAGGCCTGCGTGCTACCTGGGGCCACAGGGAAGGCAGTGAAGAGTAGGCTGATGGCGAGGTCTGCTTGCCACCCAGAGCCATGGTGATGTCTGGGCCGCACTGCTGCCGAGGGCCACGTCTGGGTCCCTGATCCTACAGCAGCCAGGGTCTGTGTTGTCCATGGCTCCTGTTGCCGTTGAGGACCATGCTGATTCCAGTGGTCTGGGCCGCAGCCTGGGGCTGAGTTGGGGTTCAGGGGCCAGCTGTGCCAATCTGGGTGGCCTTTGCTGTCACCTGGGACCATGGTGACAATCAGACCCTGGCTGCTGCTGAGGACCATGTGTGGGTCTGTGGTCCTGCAGTGGCTGGGGTCTGTGCCTTTTAGCCTAACAACTGTTTGACCACTGTAATTACATCTTTTTCTAATAATAAAAAAAAAGAGCCCTGCTGTCTTCTCTATACATAAACCATCTCTAGATGGTTACCTAACACAGCACAGTGTTGTGAGAGAGTTGTCCTGTATTGTTCAGGGAACAATAACGTGGGAAAAAAAAAAAAAGAGAGAGGGTCACAGGGTGATTATGATAAAGACACATTGTAGATGTTTGAAAATGTCAAAATGAGGCTAGGTGGTGGTGGCATACACCTTTAATCCCAGCACTTGGGAGTCAGAGGCAGGTGGATCTCTCTGGTCTACAAAGCAAGTTCCAGGACAGTCAAAGATACACATAGAAACTTTGTCTCAGAAAAAAAAAAGAAAAAAAGAAAGAAGAAAATGTCAAAATGAAACCCATTATGTACAATTAATATATGCTAATAAAAACTTAAGTCTAAAAAAAGAGAACAAGTGTCTGTATATGTTCAGTCCAAACGGAAGTTTTTCAAACATCTTTGGTCCAAGTTTGGTTGAACCTGTGGATACATTCCTGACTACAGGGAGGCAACTTTGTGTGAAGTCCAACAGTGATTGCTAAAATTGAAATCTTGTTGTAGTGGGAGATCCTCGTGTTCAGAAAACCAAGTGTCTCCTCTCATAGAGAAAGGAGATGAAAATGGAGGGGTTAGTAGAGACGGGAGATGAAGCCCGGGACAGGAGTGGGCAGTGGGCTGCACACCATTGAAATACTGCATGTGCATACGTCAGATGTCGGAGATTCAGATTACTTTCTGCAGATGATATCTGCCAGTAAGTGTTTCTTAAAATTTAAATCCTGGTGAACCCGGACTCCGGAGGATCCCTGAGAAACAGCAGTGTCGTGAACCCGCTCCATCGCAGTCTGTGGGCCCCACAGGCTACAGCTTTATCAGCTGTCTAAGCTGCATGTACAGGAGGAAAGTGGAAGCTCCACCTTGATGTGAATGTGTGGGTGGGTGACTGGGGGTTCCCGAACCATTCCTTTTGTTTTTAACCTTACTTAGGATTAATATGTTTGAGAAGGGTGTGTGTGTGTGTGTGTGTGTGTGTGTGTGTGTGTGTGTGTGTGTGTGTACAGGTGTACACTCATGCCACGGCACTGGTGTAGGGATCAACTTTGAGGTTCAGTGTTCTCTTACCTTTACACAGGTTCCAGGGATTAAACTCAGGCTGCCAGGCCTTCCAAGCAAGGGCCTTTATCCTCTGGGCCACTTAACCAGCTCTTCTTCACAGTTCCTCCTCCTGCTTGTGATGGACAGCCTTTTGTTTCTGTAACAAACAGCCCGAGTAATCAATTTTAAAAAAGGGAAGGCTCACTTTGCTTCATGCTGAGGAGGTTCAGTCCATAGTCAGTTGATCCATTGCTTTTGGAACTGTGGCAGCATGTCATGTTAGCAATGTGTGTGTGTGTGGGGGGGCAGGCAAGGTGCTTTTCACCTCATGGCAGCGGGAAGTAAAAAAGACAGAGGAAGAGACTAGTGTCCTCTTATCTTCTTCAAGGCCATGGCCTGTGTGACTTAAAAATCACCCCTTGAAGGACCCACCACCTTCCAGTAGCACTAAACTGAGATCAAGCCATTAACACATGAGCCTTTGGAAGGCATTCTACACTAGATTCTGTAGGACAGAGTGATTCTAAGCTATGTTACCCAACTTATGATAGTGGTGCTGGGCTGTGGTTGAGATCACTGGTGAAGTAGAAAGCTGCTTTGCACACTGGAATTTGAAGCTCAGGGTGGTTGAATCAATGAAGAAAATCCTAAAATTAAAAACAAACATTTTAATATTACATTTAAAGACCTTTTTCCCGACATTGCTGAATATTTAGAAAATTGTTTCTTAGTTTTTGCTCTATCCCAGGGCTTGTTGGGAATGTAAGTGACCTAGTTTGACTATAGACCTGGAACTAGACTGGAACCCGGAACTAGTCTTTCAGATGTGCTGCCTAGAGAGATTGTGCATGATCAACCCTTAGACGCGCATGCACGTGTACTATAGAGAAGAGACACTCTCATTGTTCCACATCTTAATCAGTGTGATTACTGCTTGCCCCACCATATGCATTGCTGGTTGTACATGTTTGTGGTGTACAAACTGAGTTTCTAGTGTACTTAAATTTGGTGCCTCCATTATCCCCTTACCCAACAGGCCCTGGGCATTTTCCCATGTCACTAGACACTCTTGAGGACCACCATCATCGAATACCTACTTTTGGTTCTTTTTCTCTTGTATCCCTTTGAAGAGCTTGGCCAAGGCCAAGGACTCAGAAGAGTGGCCCTTCTTCTTTCTTGCTGGACTGTTGTAAATTAGCCAAGATTTCTAACTCAGAGTACCCCCAAATTAGTCTCCCCCCTACAGCAGGAAGTACGAGGTGTCTCAGTTCCTTATGAAGATGACTTAATAGCCAGTTGGTAATTCTGTGTGGAGTTTCTGGAAAGCGTTCTGGATTTTTGTTTGTTTGTTTATTTTTGCTGTGATGAGGATATAGATATTGTAAACCATAGTCCTATCTCAGGCTTTACTGCTGTCAGGGTAAGAACTGTCCAGTGTGTTCTTCTGTCTCCTATAGCAAATGGGTCCTTGGATTTTACTTTTAACCTAAGTAAACATTTTTACTATGTTTTAAAAAATATACTTATTATATGTGTCTCATGTAAAAACATACTAGTGTACTATATTATAATGTCTTGCATTTCCTTCTTTTAACAGCTTCCCAATTATAATATTTTTTAATCTGAGTATTGTACTTGGGCTCAAAAGTTTTATCAGTCAGAAGTAAATTAAGGCAAAATACATAAAAGCAGTAGACCTAAATTTGTTAATCTAGAGTATTCTAGATATGGTCACTTATGAAGTATTAAGAAAAAAACTGCAAGCCATGTGCTGTTTTCTGCGTAGACTTTAAGAGTGGTGAACTCACAGAGACTATTAAAATGCCTGTCTCTCATCTTTGATGGCAGATGCAAGAGATGCAGAACAATTGAGCAGGAACAAGGTGACGCACATTCTTTCTGTGCACGACAGTGCCAGGCCCATGGTGGAGGTAAGAACTGTGCATGCGTGCATGTGTGCGTGTGTGCGTGTGTGCGTGTGTGTGTGTGTGTGTGTGTGTGTGTGTGTGTGTGCGCGTGTGTGCGCGCGTGCGTGTGTGCATGTTTATACTCTGTAGATGTATATATGACATTAGTAAAAGCAGTGATATTATGGCACGGGTATGTTCCTATGGTCACTGGCTGGATTATTTTTGTACTCAAGTTAAATTTACCCACTTGAGGACACCCTGTGGCCTGATGGAGAAGACGGCCTTGTTGTACTCCTGCTGTATTGCTTGCTTGGCTTTTTTTCTAAATGCCAGTAACTAAACTGATGTTCCATTTCCTTTTGAATATGAAGGATATTTAAAACATAATTTATGATGATTCATACCTATACTCCCAGCACTCAGGAAAGAAGATGGCTTTGAATTCAAGGCCAACCTGGGCTACACAGTGAATTCCAGCCTGGCTTAGGCTATAAAGTGAGACCCTGTGTCAAAAAATAAAATAAAGTAAAATTCAGGCTGTGAGGGTGTCTTGGTGGTAGTGTAGCCTAGCACACATGAAGATCTAGGTTCCATCGCTGGAACTATAGGTAAACAGCTAAATAAGTAAGACGTATTGCTGCTTTCAAAATGATTTCTATCTTAGTAGGATGCTAACGAATTCAAGTTGTTCATTTCCTGATGCTTTCCACAAAAGTTCTACTACCATTTGTGTTAGATAAAGGACAAAGGAAGGCAAACCATCCCTGGGATTCTCCCAGGCCTGGTCTGAATGGACACCATCAGTAGAGAGCTGTTGTTTTAGGTTTAGGGTAAACAGGGCGTGTCTGCTTGCACACTAATTCCAAAAACATCTTCAATTTTACCCTGATGGACGGTTTGAGCTGTTGCTCAGGACAAAATCTATTTCTGTTTCTGCTGTGACACAGCCCAGGTTCACCTCTTTTTAGAAAACAATGCCTGTGTGGTTGTGATACATGTTTTTTCTATTTTAGGGTGGGGTATTGGGAAGGGAGGGGTGCTTGTTCTGAAAGGAAGAATCCTGGTTTAAGCTGTTTTCATTGAAAGTCATATGATGCAAGACTAGGTAGTAGTTATTTACTTTCCTCAGCCTTTGGAGCGTCCAGGTTTTAGCCAGTACAAATCTGTCTAAAGCAGATAGAGGAGAATGGAGGCCGAGACGTAGTTCTGAAGCCTGACTGCCACAGCTGATGACTGCTGCCCAGATCCCGCCCACTCCATCTTCCCAGGCGGAAGCTCACACTTCCTCCACTGTTCCCATGGGTGTTTGCTGCCTTAGTTTCAATGAGGATGACAGAACACTTTTTTATTTTCAAGTCAGGCATTTACTTTGAAAATAGTTATTCCATTTTTTTAATCTGTTAGTGATAGTTTGTGTTTAAAATGTAGACAAGTTAACGTGCAAAGTGGTCATGGCTGACTTCCTCTTAAATCACAAGATGAGGCTTGAGGTTTCCTTTATTTTAATAAATTGCATAGCTGTCCTTCCCACCCTCACCCACCTTGCTATTGTCTACTCTTATAATGGGATACATTGCCATATGAACACTGCTCTTAATCTTTTAACTTCCATCCACATACCAGGTCTTGAAGTGGTAGATGTGAGACAACTCCAGCCATTCTGTCCAAATCCCCTCCCTTCTATACACAGAAACTGTGGCTGGACTGGAAAGCAAAGCAGGTGGGATTGTAACCCAGGTATAAAGAAGACGCTGTTTGCATGAAACCTCAGAGCTCTAGGCAGCTGTGGGCCTCCATTCGTAACACACTCCATGTCCGGTGCATTCTGTGTGTTTTGTCTGTAGGGACAGCTTTTGCCTTTACACAGAGCAGAGGGAAATGAAGGGAGAGACAGAAGTCACTGTGCTCCTCGGTTAGTTTTCATTGTTTCCCCATCATCATCATCTTACACCCACAGTTTGCCACCCTGTGCTTGCAGAATCCTCAGAAGATTCTGCCACAGTCATCGGATACTATTATTACCTCAGCTTGATAATAAGTGCTCCTGTGGGTTTTCAAGTTTGATTTTTTTCGTTGAGGTTTGGGGACTTTGTCTAGCCATCTTCTCTCTGAAATTCCAAGCTCAGCTCCAGAATCCATGGCCTCACCAATCTGGAGAAGAGGCTGGGAAGTTATTGGTGTGTGGTCTTCCATAGCTCTGTGTTCTGTTGGCCCTGGTCCTTGAAAGGAAATGGAGCAGAATGAAATAGGGGGTGGGATTGTGTACTGCGTTACATAAGTGGGCTGAGCAGATCTTCTGCTTAGGAGAGGAGCCCTACCTGAGGGTAGAGGGAGGGTGGGAGAAGAAAGAGGCAAGACTGCATTTTCTGAGAACTTCAAAACCAGGCATGTTTATGAAATGCCCTAGCTTACTCTGGGCAGCCTTTCTCTGGGGTGGACAGGAAGTAAGGAGGTGGTCTCTTCCCCAGATCAAGAAATTTTAGTCCCACAACATGTAGGCAGGACTTCCAGAAGCATGGCTGCCAGGGAGCCCTAGATGGGGCTCTATAGTGTGGACACTTCTTGAGTCATCTCAATAAATACCTCAAGAGCCAGCACGAAAGAGGGCTGGGGGGTGGGAGGAAGGAGGAGGGGGATCTGTGGATAGTATGTGGAGTGAGTAGAAAATTTCTTAATAAAGAAAAATGAAAGAAAAAAATAAAATAAATACCTCAAGAGTTTTAAAGCATTGAAGCTATTGTCGTCAAGGACTTTAGTCTTTAGACCAGCTTTTAATTGCAAGAAAAGCCAAGTGAGAGCATGTGGTCCCATCATTGAACATGCATCAAGTATTGATGAGGAGATCTGAGAATTCTCTGAGGATAAACTGCTTTGGGGAAACATGTTTAGGAAATTTAGTATGCCATAGGCTCCCGAGAAAATCCTGGTTAGGTTGGGAGGATAAACATTCACAAGTTGCAATGTAGACATATACTTTCATTCTCTCTGAGCAAAGCTCTTGAGTGAATGCATGTTGATGTGACGCATGGCCTGCCCCAGTCTTGTGTGACTATATTATCAGAGTGGCCGAAGGATGCCCAAGCTTGTGCCACGCCAAGGCCAGAGGACTGCCCAGACCCTGCCAGCTGAGGCTGCCGATGTACAGCTCGCGCCTCTACACACTGCTTTACTTCTGCGGCTGTGAGATCTGCTGCAGGTAGAAGGGAAGGCTCTGTAGTTCTAGTACCTATTGAACATAGCTCCTCTCTGAGTGGAGCTGTCTGTTTTCTGTTGTAATTTCTGACTAGTACAGGTCCTAGACTACATCCACCACAGGTCACATGAAAACCTGCTTAGTCGTGATGCATTATACATTTTATTTTCCAACCAAATAAGGAGCTTGTGTTTTCATGATTTTAGTTATATGTAGTATGACTACATATAACTTGCCATTATTTGGTTAATTTTGGAGAAAGTTCCCAGAATAACACTTGAAGTATCTAACATTGCTGTCAGAGTGCCTGGAGGGAAAGACGGGAAGCCACTGATCTCAGGCCTTCAAAGTGGCTGAGCCACTTTCTGTGGTTATCAGTGTTTCTGATGAGACAAGGTTTGTGTGGCCTCTGGTGCGTGGAATAAGATAGTCCAGGAAAAGAAACCTGGAACTCCAATTGTGCCCCTCAGAAGAGTTTCTGAGCAGGTCTTAACAGAATGAAGACACTTGGCTTGCTTGCTTATTGAAACTCAAGAACTATCCCAGTTCAGGAAAACTACAAATCTCAGTAACTGCCTGGAGGAGGAGAATGGAAGAGAGAAGGAAAAAAGCCACGCCATTGTGCTGGAGTGGAAGTCAGACACAAGGCAGACAAGCAACCACAGCTTTAGAGAAGGAAGCCCAGTGTCAGGGAAAGCAGCTTTGAACACACAGAAGGAAGACAAGGAGAAGATGGCCTTCCTAAGTAATTCAGGAAGATGCACAGAGCTGTACAGCTATGGCCCTGTAAGCTACTGTGCTGTGGACAGGAATTCTGAGGACAGTCTCTCATTAAAGGACTGATTCTTCTGCCTGTTTCTAAGGTGAGCCTGCCTTCCTGAGAGTGGTCCCTTGGCCAACGAATTGGCCAAGACCAACTGGACTGTTAGGTCTCTACCCAGGCCAGAGATTCTGTTCACTTTACCAGTTTTCCCTTAATGGGCCTTCGTTGCTACTTAACCCCCAACCCTGCGCCCCGTCTCTGAAGAAGTAACCCTGAAATCACTTTGGAACCAGGTCAGGCTCAGAGCAGAATGGAGACCCTCAAAGACATCTAGAAGGGGCTGAGGAGATGGCTGGGTCAGCACAGTGCCAGCTTCGTAAGCATGAAGACTGGAATTTAGATTCCCCCAGTGTCCACCTAAAATACCAGGTCCAGCAGTGCTGGCACTGGAAAGGCAGAGACAGGAGGATAGCTGGAACTTGTTACCAGCCAATTTAGCTGAGCCCATGAGCTCCAGGTTCACTAGAAACTTGGTCTCAAAGAAGAAGGTGAAGAGTTATTGAGACATCTGACATTGATCTCTGGGCTCTACTTGCACACACATACACATGCACAAACATGGACACACGTTCCACACACAAATTAAAAATAAAGCAGCACATAAACTTATGGACATTACTCACTAGGGTAACCCCAACTCCCTCTGGGATTCCAAAGAGCTATAATTCCCTTTCTGTTCCTACTGCCCACCCACACCCACCCTTGCCGTGTGTGTGTGTGTGTGTGTGTGTGTGTGTGTGTGTGTGTGTGTGTATGTATGTGTGTGTTGCTGGAAATCAAATTCATGCTAGGCAGGCGCTGTAGCCCTGAGCCACACCCCTGGCCTAGCTACCGCCTTTTGTCTGACAAATCCCAGCAGAACTGGGTTGGGTCCCACAGATGATCTCTCCTGACTTCATCATTAGAAAAAGAAAAAGCCTGAAGTCGTCAGGGCCCGATGCTTGGTTTTGGTAGTTTGATGAGAAGCTAGTGTTTCTGTCCTAGGCTAGAGACTTTTTTCCCAGCATGCTCCCTGTCTCAGTCCTTTGTTGCCGTGGCTGGTGCTTCTTGTGGCAGTGTTGAGAGGTCTTTCCATAGTAGGAAAGTGTGTACCTATGGAGCTCTCACCAGCACGGTTTTATTGTTTAAGCATGTATTAATTGTACAAACTAATGGATTTCATTGTGATAGTTCCATGCCTGATTGTATATACTTTAACAGTATTCACTACCCTCTTGTATTCTTTTATCCTTTTCATTTAGCAAAATTTCTGTTTTATTCTTATTTTTTTATTTTTTTGGCCAAAGTCTTATTCCTTCCAAGACACCTCTTCCCCGTGGAGGCTGGGAGTCAATGGCATATTTGCTCCTTGAGCATCTAGTATGTGCCAGGCCAGGGACAGGCACTGAAGATACTGAAAGTGTGATCACCCCCTCCCCCATCTGCCTTGGCAGAACCTTTAATGCACAGACAAGATTCTATTCTGATTATTTTGTAAGTATTCACAGTGACCACAGCCTAGTGGGAGAAGAGCTGTGGCTCTAGGTGGGTGACAAGTTAGGTAGACAGTAGACCTGAGGACCCAAGAGTGAGTCTGTCTTCCACCCGTGAATCTGCACTTACTGCACCGAGCATGTGTTCGAACAGCTCTAAGCAATGACTAGGTATTGTTCAAATCTTAAATGGTCTTTTAATAAAAATCCCAGAGCCAGATATCAGGGTGAAAACTGAAAGATTAAAGAAGCAGAACAACCAGCCACTAGTTCTTACCTCTACGAAATCCTCGGCCTAAAGAGAGTGAGTTCCTATTTCCTCACCCCTTATATACCTTTCTCTGCCCTACCATATTACTTCCTGGGATGAAAGGCGAGTGTGCTTCCCAAGCAAAGGCATGAGATCTCAAGTGCTGGGATTAAGGGTGTGTGCCACCATTGCCTGGCTCTGTGTCTAATCTAGTGGCTGGCTCTGTCCTCTGCCTCTGATCCTCAAGCAAGTTTATTAGGGTACACAGCATATCACCACAGCTAGGAATTCGTATGATCTGTTTATGGTGTTATGGCCAGAAGAAAGCTGGTAGAGAAAACAAGAATATAAGCCCCTCTGCATGGCCCAGCTACTTCCCTGGGATCTTTTTGATCCTCCAAGACTTGCAAGCCTAGCAAGCAGGCTCCACAATCCTTACTTTTTATGATGTAACTTACCTGGGTGACTCCACCTGTCAGAAAATGGACCCTGGCCAGGGTTAGACTCTAAGGTCTTCTCACTATAAAGGTAAGGGTCTTTCTCTTGGACGCAATCATTTAGGACTGTGTTTTGGTGTCAGTCATTGAAGTACATGTTACTAATGTGTTTATAGGCAGAAACCATCAAAATATAGATTAATTTCAAATAAAAAAATCTAGATCTGTAGTTACAATATTTAGGGTATAAAAGCTCTTCATCTGACTCTGTGCTTGGGCAGTGGCTGGGAATTGTCTACATTTATTGTTTCCTTATTGGGTTGCAGTGACAGTAAGTGTTTGCAGTCAATCAAATGCTTGCAAAAGGAATTGAGTTTTATCCCCTGAACTGATGTTAAAACCAGGCATGGTGGTACCTGTGTGTAATCCCAGCACTCGGGTGGCAGACAGATCCCTGGAGCACACTGGCCAGCTAGCCTGGTCTTGTTGGCAAGCTCCAGGCTAAAGAGAGACCTTGTCTCAAAAAATGGTGGACATCACCTGAGGAACAATACCTGAGGTTGTCCTCTGACCTCCACTTCTGATATGCTCAGACATGTGCACCAGCATATATACAAATACATGCAAACACACACACACACACACACACACACAAAAGAAGTGTTTCCTTATTTGAGAGAGTAGCATGAGTTTGGTGTCTTCAGAACCCAAAGATTGCTTCAGCATTGAGGAGAGGTGAAAAATAGTAATTTTTTTCCAATCAGAAACTCAATATTGTTTGTAGATGCTGAGGAAGTAATATTGAGCAAT